TGGTCGGATCCACTGCGACTCCCACCAACGAGGGTTAAGCCGATGTGGTGCATGGGCGGGAGATTTGTCCCGATAGACTATGCCGAGTTGGTGACTGGCTCGAGAGCCTCAGCCCAATGGCCAATAGCGATATCTTGGCCAGACCTTAGACGCCGCCGCCTGGTCACTTGAACTGCTACTTCCTTCTGATGCCCTCGTGCCATTTTGTCGTCTGGATATTATTGGGTCTCAATGCCTGATCAAACGGTTGTTGCAGACCAGAATGAGGTGAGGGGCAGACGTTGCGGTAACTTGCAATGCAGGCTTCGGCGGCTGCTGCGTCGCCGAAAGGCATGATCGAACGAGTCCGCGTACCGGTGAGCCGGTCGCAAGCACAGTCCATTTCCCCGTTCCCTCAAGCGGGCGCTGAGTCTCAACTATGCCGCCTCAGTAGGGCTCCGGCGTCCATGATCAGCCACCGTCGACGCCTCTATCCCACCCTCCTGCAGAAAACCGCCCATCCGGGCAGCATCCCGGACAGCCCAGGCCGAGAGTGAGACGCACCGTTGAAGCCTCAAAGACCCCTCACGTCCGGGGCTGAGGTGAAAGTGGTGACACAGGCTCGCACTTTGCTTTTCAGAGCCACGCGAAGGGGAAAGGGAAGGCGCGAGCGTTGGGCCTAGTGTCAATAGCCACCCACAGCCAAGTAGGAAGTAACCTGAGGGTTGCAGATGGAGCTGCAAGGCATCGCAAACAAGGCACGGCGTTGCAAAGCAGCGGCGGTTGCAGCAGTAGTTCCTTGGAGAGCCCTTCATTCGGAGTGGGTTCCGCGGTCGCCCTACGGTGCGGCCTGGCCCTGGCCTTGTTGCAGAGAAGGGCTGATTGGGGTGGTATGGGTGATATGGTGTCGATTCGTTCCTGATCCCAAAATAATTGTCATGTGAGGCTCCAACCGTTTCTCTCGTCGTGGTGGAGCGGCCTTCTTCCAAAACCTCCTAGAGTGCATGAACTGGGTGTTTCAACTGTCTTGACGTGTTTTGGTTAGCCGCGATGGAGGGTCTGGCCGGGCTGAACCCGCGGTTGATGGGCTGCTGCCCCTCAGTCCTGGACCTACAGACATCATCCGGTAGACGATTTAGGTTTTTTGATGGGTCGTGCTGGGCGAATGACGATTTCTGCCCACGGGCGACGGAAAGGCCGTGTGTCGAGCAGACTGACAGCGACTCTGTAGAAGGCGCTCGAAAGGAAGGCTTCAAGAGGCCCTGAAGGGACAAGAGAGCAGAGTCAGAAAAGGCCAGGATGGGCTGTTTTGTTGGAAATCTGGCAGGGTAGCTCCGTGCATTGAGGCATCGAAACAACAGACGGATGGGAGACGCTCATGCGCCTGTCTGAGAGCCCGCGGGCGGTAGGTAGTCAAGCTCGCAGCTGTCGGTCGGGCGGCTTTAGTTGAGTGCTGACGGGCAGCCCAGCACAGGGATTCCATCGAAAGCATTGGCCCTCGTTGTCGTTACCTTAGCAAGCGGCAGAGCAACAGCCGGCGTTGGTTGCTAGAAGGGACGGAGAGCGATGTGATCTGAACCGGGGAAGAGACGGCGAGATGATGGGGGAGGCCCGAAGACTGCAGACACGACACGGCGAGAGGGCTGTGCTGGGCGGCGGACGCAGTATGGCGCGCTGCTAGTTTCAAGCATGAGGCGGCCGAACCCGACAGCACCATGGCAGTTGCGCAGTGGTGGCCAACGTCCGACGACGCTGCGACTGGCTGGGGTTAAGGAGAAAATGCAGCTTTGGGTAAATCTAAACGGTGTTGCTGAAGTTGAAGTCGCAAAAAAGTACAATGGACGAGACTCGTGATCGTGACATTCGGTGCTTTCCCTCGGGTGTCTTATCGCACCTGTCTTGCTTGCCTTATCGGGAAAGGGGGCACCAGTCGAAGCAAGAGACATGGAGACTGGAAGGCACCTTCTTTCTGGTAGGGAAAGGCAGGCAGGTACGGGGTACTTTGCACGCATGAGGTAGGTACCTGCGCAGGAAGGAAGGAAGGACCGCACGGGATCTACCCTACCTCCTTAGTGGGAACGCCGTGTCTTATCAAGCAATCACCTCATCAAGACGCTCCATCTTGCAATGCAGTTGTTAACTTGTTGGGTCTCTTACTCTTTGGTCGACTCGATGAGAACTTTTGCAGTCAACTGTGGTCTGAGAGATGCTGGAGGAAAGTGGGCAGTCGGCTCATTGCCCTTCGCAACGACGACGACGGATCAATCCAAATTTGCAGCGGGAGGTCCAGATGAGAAGGTTTACTGCATAGTACGGCCTACTCCGGCACGATAGTGAATCAAAGGTTGACGATTACCAACGGCCAACGATTGCGGCAGGTAAGCAAGTCAGGCATTCGTGCTTACTGCGTAGTACAGGAGACATTGATGTGGTGCGCCAAGTACTCACGTACTGCAGCGGTGATGGAGCCTGGTCAATCAATCTGGGACCAACGGCGGCCAACTTAGATCCGAGGAGGAACTGCGGGCAGCGGCTGTCGTTGACGTCTTGCGTGTACTTCATTTACGTGGGATGGCACGGTAATACTGGCAGCAATATCACGGCTGCTATGCCGGGAGATGCCCGTTGGCGATATGCTCGTCATTCAGGGCATGATGATGACTCACGTCAAAAGGAAGCAGAACGGAACACGGGCAGAATTCCGTTTTGCTGATATGGATCGCACGAGAATGTTCTCGCGATGTTTCCCATGATTTGTGTCTGTCCCTGGTTCCCTCTCTCTCTCTCTCTCTCTGGGTCAGACTCTTGCTTTGCATCTGCAGACAGAGCCAGGCCGGATAGATGCCCCTCACCACCACCCCTATTTTTACGTGCCTGTGTTATCTCTCGTTCCATTGACCTTCTCGAACAATGCAGTGCACGCCGTGTCGCCCTCCCTGCTCTTTTGCTGCCCTTCTTCAACCCGGCTAGAATTGTTCTCTCTCGCAGCTGCAGGACCGGGGTCGAGGGTTTGGGGTGCCTGCTGCCCACCACTACGCAGAACGTTGCCCTCTCTCGACACCATCAGGTGTCGAACGTCGGAGCCTCTCTCTGGCCAGTGAACTGTACCAATGATGTAGGCCCGACTGCGTGTGTGTTCGTAGATGGGTATGGATATGCTCTTAGTTGTGGTGTTGAACCAACTCTGAAAGGACACAGCGAGCCACCCAGAGCAAGCAGGGCGCCAGGTGAGGTGCTCCGTAGGTAGGGTAAGGATGCCACGCGGGCACCATTCCAATCAATGGGAGACGTGAATCTGTCCACTGCGACGGGAGGCCAGTCTCGATCAAGACTAGCGCGGCAACCCGCTAATTTGAAACGCCCAAAACCTCCATCGGAATCAATGCGCGCAGCCTGAGGCCCTGAGAGGCCTTGCCCGGCTTCCCAGGTCGCTCCTTCCCTGCCCGAGAGGTACAGCGTACCTACCTTACCTGCTGCTGTTGCGTACATGCTGCACCTGAGGTGGAGGGGAGCGTCACTGCCAGGAAGGAACATCCGGTGCGTACCTGCCTAAGGTACTGCGACGTGCCCTGAGGGTGCTTGCTCTTCCAGCAGTCATTCACCACCTCAGGCTACCTTGGCTGTGTCTTCCCAGCCGCGGGAGTCTGTCCTTCTGTCTGGTCGGTCTTCACACCCACGCCAGATGTACCCGGTACTCCCAGGCCTCCCCTCCCCCTCCCCCCATTTCCCTACCAGATTCCCTCCTCTCGCAACAGCGCAAAGACCGACACCGCATCCAACGAGAAACTGCATGCTGAAATCAGACTTGGCTGGCCTGACCTGACCTGGCCTGACCTTCTTCAGTTGGGTTGCCTTTCCAGTCCACCACCATGGGCTAGGAGACGCCGGAGACACACACACACACCAACACACACCACACAAACGCACATGCACACAGCCTACCTTGCCTTAAGGTACAGCACGATACCCTCCTCGAACTAACCCGTCGCTCAACTGTCAAGGCTTCCCCTTCCTTGCCTTACCTCGCCTTACCCTGACCCTCTTCCTACTCGTTCTCTTCTCCCACCTCCCAAGAAGAACCTCGTCCCGTTTGCGCACCCAACCCAGGTCCCAGTCCCAGCCCCAATCCCGGATCGCTTCCCCTCAGGTCACAGGTTGGGTCGAATCGAGACTCGCTCATGCACCCCGTCTGCAGCTCTCTGCGTCCTGCAACAACAATACCATCCCCCAAACTGAGCGACATCACCGACTCGACCTGTTCTGCAAACTTGCAGCCAAACCCGTCCGTTTGAACAGACACCTGTCTCGCCCAAAATTCGCCTGGGGATCCAGCAGATAATACAGCGCTAGGGAAAGGGAAAAGAGGACAGGCACTAGGACTCCGGCAGGGGTAACAGAGGCATTCGTTTCGCCCCGGTAGCCCGCATCGCTCCGCAACGCTCCGCAACTTCGACTCGTCGACTCGAAATCAGACCCGCCCGACCTGCCCAACCTCTCCCTCCTCCTCCTCCACCGACACTCGGCGCCGGCAGTTCTGTCACACTCACTCTCACTCTCGACACGATTGCACTCTTCCTTCGAACCTGCTGTCCATTTGCAGATCGCAGCAGAGGGGCTTCCGATACCCGAACAAAAGCGCCAACCTAACGCCGACCGCCCAACAACAAAGGCCCTTGTTCTCGCTTTCCGCCTGACCAGAAAGAACGGCGCCCCTTTTGCGACGACTCCCGACTCCTGCGAACCGACCGTGACCGCTAGATCGTCTCTCGCCCCAACCACCGACACTTCTAATCCCCGGAGCCTTCCCGACTTGACCGACGCTGAGAGAAACCCTTGCGCTGGATGACGTGAACCTTGTTCCTACCTCTGGACAAGAAAGCGCTTCATCAATTTTCCACCGCCTCGACCCCCCGATTTCCTCCCACGATACCCATCCGACTGCAGCCTCTCCCGACCGCCCTCGCCCACAAATCGCCCTTTCGCTTCCTCTCCCCTTCTACATTCGGATGGGTTAGGACGTCATGGCTCATGCTCCTCTCCTCAGAAACAACACCGCTCCCGTATTCCAGAACCAGAACGGAATTGGTGGTCTACCCAATACCATGAGTAATGCGCCCCGCGCCAGCCAGCTTTCCGGCTCGACAGCGTTCACATCGGCCGGTTCAATCAACTCGTTTGCGAGCACCTCGACCATAACCCCCGCGCCGAATGGCGGTCCTGTTATCGCGACGGCGAACATCATCAACCAAAAGGCCGATGCTTCCCGATCCCTTTACCAGATTTGCATGTCGTTGAAGCAGCGTTTAGCACAAGTCCCAGGCTTCGACCCCTACCTGCAAGAGTTGGACCCAACCGACCCCGTCGAGTCACTGTGGAGCCTTTTCCGCACCGGCTACCCGTTCTTGGATATCTACAATGCCCTGCAGCCCGAAAAGCCCCTCGAAATCGACGGTCCGAACGCTGCGGCGTCAGAGAGCAAGAAGTCCAAGATCGCCATTTTCAAGTTTATCCAGGCATGTCTCAAAGAGCTCGGCATCCCGTCCGCCGAATGCTTCGTCATCAGCGACGTCCTCGGAAACGACACGACTGGATTTGTCAAGGTATGTGAAAGTCGGCTCTTCGCAGTCGCGACTCGGAATGACTCCTGCTTTGACGACAGAATTGAATCTGACCGTATCGCAGACAACCCAAGTGGTCAACCTTGTTCTCGATCTCGCCGAACAAAGAGGACTACTGCTACAGTTACAGCCTTATCCCGAAGATGACATGCCCAAGGAGCCCGGCTCCAAGTTGAGCTACAGAGACCACATTATTAAGGAACTGGTTGACACAGAGCGCAAGTATGTGCAAGACTTGGAGAACCTTTACGATTTGAAGAGCAGCTTGGAGACGAAGGGTATCATTACTGGCGACACGATCCATCAGATTTTCCTCAACATCAACGCTATTCTCGACTTCCAGCGTAGATTCCTCATTCGAGTTGAAACGACAAATTCCATGCCGCAAACCGTTCAGCAATGGGGTGCTCCCTTCGTCACATACGAGGAGTCCTTTGACATTTACCGACCGTTCATCGCCAACCAACGAAAGGCTGCCCAGGTCGCCGGTCAGGTGTTTGACCAGATCAAAGCTTCTGGACACCCGGTCGCAGCCGACTTCAACACCCTAGATGGCTTCTTGCTCAAGCCAATGCAGCGTCTGGTGAAGTATCCTCTTCTGCTGAAGGACTTGTTGAAGAAGAGTGAAGACGAGTCGATTAAGGCCGACCTGGCGGGAGGTATTGAGGCGGCTGAAAGAGTGCTCTCTCGGGCCAACGAAGAGGTTAATCGCGATCTTCTGGACGAAGCCCTCGACGATCTCCGAAACCGCGTGGATGACTGGAAGAACCACCGCGTAGAACAATTCGGTAGGTTGCTAATGCACGGCGTCTACACAGTCGTCACTGGAAAGAGCGAGCAAGAGAAAGACGTAAGTTGATTTTGCACTTCCCCTCGATATTTCGGGATAAGTGTACTAACTGACTTAGTACGAGATTTACCTGTTCGAGTGCATCTTGCTCTGCTGTAAGGAAATCTCGGCCAACAAGAGCAAGGACAAGAAGGACAAGACGCGGTCGACTGGACCCAAGATCAGGAACAAGAACGCAAGATTGCAACTCAAGGGTCGGATTTTCATGACGAATGTTACCGACGTCGTCTCTCTGTCCAAGCCTGGATCGTACAGCGTTCAGATTTGGTGGAAGGGCGACCCCGGCGTCGAGAACTTTATGATCAAGTACACAAACGAGGAACAGATGAAGAAATGGGCCAACGCCCTCGAGTTGCAGCGGAAGGACAACGCACCGAAGGCATCGACGAGCCCTGATTCAGCCGCACCCGATTTCGCCTGGACTCGCGAGCATGGCGGCAAGCTCGAGAACCCGTATCTCAACCAGCAAGACGATGACGACGAGGACGAGATGTGGCCACCTGCGTCCGCGCCAGCCCAGTTCCCGATGCCGACACAGTCTACCGGAGGCACCATGCTCCCTCGAAACGCGTCTAGCACCAGCCTTCGGCAACGTGCTGCTACGGGCGAGAGCCTTGCCGGCATGGTGAGGGCGCCACCACCCCGATTTCCGCTCCCGCAACCTCCCGCGCCCTTGAATGTGCAAACACAGATGCCTCCCCCAGGCGCATCATCCCCGGGAGCCCGTGGCGGCGATTCATACTTCTCGCCCGTGGCCGAATCGCCAGTGTCATCGCGTACGAGCACCGCGAGTGGCATGTTCCCTAACCCTAACTACCAGTTCCCCAAGTCTCTGACGCCCCAGCCTGGATGGGAAGATCCCAACCAGAGATACACTGCGCCGGCTATGCCTCGCGCGCCGTCCAGAGATGGCGCTCCCCAGAGAAACCCGCGTGGACCTTCTCTACCTGCTATGGCATCTAACAGCCAGAGCGCCGCTCAACAGCAGCGCAGCAGGTCGTACAGCACACCCGACATCAACGGCCCAGGTGGCATTCGCCGCACGCAAGGAGGCACGCCAGTTCCTACGGTGCCCAGTATCCCAGCACACCTGCATCCTGCTCATGATAACAACATTCCCCGATCTCAGACCGGCTCCCCCAGAATGAACGACCTCCCCATGCGCGCAAACACGCAGAGCCCTGGTGCGCAGCGAGAGCGCCAATATGGCCACCAGCAGTCTGGAAGTTACGGCGGCAGCATGTCACAGTTCCCCGCACAACCGATTTACCCCCGCCAGGGAACACCCAACTCTATTGCGCATGACCGGCAGCTCAGCATCGACGCTGCTGCATCAATGAATGCCGTGCTGTCTCCTCCACTTGGCACCGGTGTTAGCGCAACTCAGTCGAACCCGCTTGCCAGCCCGGACCTCCCGATTCCTACCCAGCTCAAGGTCAAGGTGAACTTTGTCGACAGCGGAAACTACGTTACCCTGGTCGTTGCCTTCAATATTACCTACCAGTCACTGATTGACCGAATCGACGCCAAGTTGGCACGGTTCACGAACAGCAGCATCAGCAAGGGAATGCTCAAGCTGCGTTACCAGGACGAGGACGGTGATTTCGTCACCATCGCCAGTGACGATGATATCCAGATCGCCTTTATCGAATGGCGTGAAGGTGGAGTTGGCGAGATCGAACTCTTCTGCGTTGGAGACACGGCCTAAACGCCCCATTTCTATGTCGAAGTAGGTCTTTTGGGAGAGTAGGACTTTCCCAGGCGCATCATACCATATACCCATCGGGGGGCATTTCTTTGCATACAAGGCGTCCGGAGCAGATTGTTTCACCTTATTTTTATACCTCTCAGCATCGCATCATCATCGGAGCAGGTGGCTGCCAGTCTACAAGGCGGGCTTGTAGCGGTAATCATTCTGCAACCAGGAAGCATTCGGACCTGCGAGATTTAGACGGCACCATCATCATGATCACTTTTTCCCCTCCCGCCCCACGACACACAAGTACCACTTTAGGCGTGGAGTCGCGCTTCAACCGGACTCTTTCTTGGAAATATTTACGACTGTTTCCCGACCCGCAGCTCTGGGCGGACTTTGCATATGCCCATCGGGCCAACGAGACACCAGACTGAGGGCCATTGGTAAACGAATCCAGGCACTCTTTCTACTTTCTATTTTTCACTTCTTACGTTGGTTGTTTACTCTTGGAATGACTGACCCTCTTTCGATCGTTACGACTTTGATGATGACGGAGAATTTTGATTCGGGTGTTGAAGGGTTGATGGCTGGTGGACAGCATCGGCCGGAAGTGAGATGCTTGGCCTTGTCGTTCGCTACAGTTTGGGAATGGCTCTTGACTGGCGCTAGCTAAAGGTTATTGAAGAATGGACAGGCGTTGCTGATCCTTCAAGTTGACTCTGGTCCTACAATATGCACTGTGCTTGTGATGGTGTTGTGAAATTGCTTTGTCTTGGCGCAAAGTCGCATTGAAATCAGTCATCCTCGCGTGCAACCTATGTCGAGCCTGTCAAAGAAATGCCTAGTATGCCTACATCTTGCCTTGCATTAATTAGTCACAACCAAGGCGAACTTGTGAATATTGCTGGTCATAAAGCTCTCCATATTTTGTGGTGGAATGCGGCAAAGTATCTTGCCAGATATGATACATAGTGTACAACAGCCATGCTCTAAAACGCCTCTTCCGGTGTATGATAATCTCAATTCGTTCTTCATCCCACGGCTGCTGGGCAAATGGGCCATACATGGGCAACAGTTGGCCCAATCCTACGAAAATGATAGCTGGTACCATGTTCGTCTTACTCATCCGCGCACCGTCACCAGCAGGACCCATCGTGTCAGCCTCCTCCTACTCCGTGTCTTCGACTGCCCCTGATTTACAAGTTGCGTTTTGTCGGCTTGACGTCCTTGGAGTGGGGGACGACGCGGTCCTTCATGCGGCCGAGGTGGTAGTTGATCGGGGAGGAGGGCTTCTTGGACTCCTTGGGCTTGTCCATGCAGGCGCGGAGGCTGTTCTCGAGGGCGGCGCAGCCTTGGGTATGATAGCCGGCGGAGGCCCAGCAGGCTGTGGATGGAGGTGTTAGCTGGTAATCTGATGGAAGCTGGAGTGGTGATTCTGGGATGTATACTGGGGTTGGCCCGTACGCATCATCGCAGCGCAGTTCTCAACCCCCAGCACCGAACCAAAAAGGCAATCGCAGGGCACATGGGGGAAGTCGACTCACCAAGAACGGAGGTCATGACGGCGATGCACGGGTTCTCGGGCTTCTTGTTGGGCTGCTTGACACGGAGGACGCTCACAGGCGGAAGGCGCATCGGCTTTTGCGGCATGATGGGCTGTGGAGCTCAACTCTGAGACTTTGGGACTGGATGAACGGTTTTTCGAGTCAACGTAGCCGTCGGGGGCTTTTACGTATCGTATCGTATCGTCGTCGTCGTCGTCGTCGTCGTTCCGAAAGCTCTCACCGGCCCCATCTCCAAGCTCCCTCCATCACGAAAATCTCCAAAGCGCCACTCCAGTCTTTTTTCGCCAATCACGTGCCTTAAGCCTTGCTTTACGCCACGGGAAATTCATGATTGGCCAGAAACGCGATATGGGGGGCCACGGCCAGGCGCACGGATCACCGCTGCAGACCCTCAAGCCGCGCAGCAGAAAAAAGGCGGTGGAGGGGTTTTTGAGAAATTCAGTTTAGCGCCTGCCGTCGGGAGCTGCCGATTGGCTGGATGCAATGGAATGTAAACAAAAGAAGAACCAAGAACAATAGGAGGGGAGGGGAGGGGAAAGAGGCGTTGCTAGGAACAGAATGAGCCGCACTTTTGGGAGGGACCCTAGGTCGATTATTTCCCGTCTGTTATGCCCTCCAGTACAAAAAGTGACTTGGTCCCGGTTTCGTCTTGAGCAAACCGGCAGGTACCTTGAACCCTTTGTCGAAGCATTTCTCGAGGCTATACATACATGCGCTTGCAGAGATACTCGTCATTGCAATTGTATACTGGAATTGGACTTGATATTCCGAGACGGCTTTCGTAGTCATTGGTTCTTCTCGTTTATTCAAAGTCGAAGCGCGTCACGGTCGCTTTTTGGTTGGTCGCGTCGGGTCTGCCTCGCTAAAAAGTATTGTTTACTTTCGAGTTGCGACCCCCCGGAGCCCGTGTCCCTTTTCTCTGCGCTACCTACCCCAACCGCGCGCAACCTCTTCCCGGATCCCAACCAGACAACCCACAGTCGCATTACATTGGCTATAGCTTTCCAATTAGCTCGACACACTACCACACAACTTGTTCCTCGATTACCTCATTTTCCAATTTACGGACACTGAGCTTCATATCACTTACCCCTAAACTTCACCAAGCCAATGTCTTTTCATCGCATACGATGAACTTCTCCGGCCTCTCTCTCTCGGCGCGTAAGCACGACGCGCCGTCGAATTCCCCTTCGCGCTCCAAGTTCGCCTCCAGCGAGAACCCTAAGGTGGCTCTCGCCGGTTTCGCAGACTTGGAGGTCACGCCTAACCCCAATGGCGCCATGACCGCCAACCTCGACTCCTTGAACCTCGGGTTCACCACGCCAACGAAGCGTGGCGCTCCCTCTCCCAGGTCAAAGTCGACTACCAAGAAGAACGCACCAAAGTTTGCGGCCATGTCCCTCGGAGACAACGAACCCTCAAAAAGCACACCTACGACGCCAAAGAGCGCGAAGACGACGTCGCCTAAGAAGCGCGTTAACCTATCTGGTGGATTCTCCGTCATGTCTCTCGCTCGGGACAGGGCCTCGCCCAAGAAGACGCCCTCGCCCAAAAAGCTCCAACTCGAGGACGCCAGCTTCATGTCGGTTAACGGCTCGACACCAAAGTCTGCCTGCGACCTGTCGCCGAGCAAGCTCAGCCCGACCAAGTCGTGTTTCCGAACGAGCAAGACGCCCTCACCGAAGAAGGTGTCTTTCGCCGACGAAGCATCCTTCCAATTCGCTACCGCGTCGACACCGAAGCTGTCACGCGACCCTTCGCCTCAGTCCTCGCCCTCGATGGTGGAGACTTCAGAATTCTCGATCATGTCGACCACGTCCCCTGCCGCGTCACAGGCTTCACAGGACCCGTCGCCCGCGTCGATCGTAAGCAGACTTGACGAGGAGGAGTGCGACGACGAGCAGACGATTTCGCTGGTGGAAACTCCCTCAAGAGCGCCGATGTTCAAGCTGCAAGTGGAGGACACACTTGCAAAGGCTTCCGAGATAAGCGCTTTCACGCCCTCCAAGGCCTCCGACGCTGGCAGCATCTTCCAGTCGCCCTCCAAGATCGATATCTCAATGCACGACGTTACGTGGATGTCCGACTACGCGCCCACGACTGGTTTCCAAACGTATACCTTCGCGACTGTCGATCTTACCGACGCTGCTCGCGCTCTTAGGTACGCTCATCTCGAGGGTGTTTGTGCTGGCCTCGCTAACCCTTTTCCGTAGTGGACCCTTCCAGCCCGAGCTGTTCGAGAAGAGTGACTACACCACCACCCTCTCCCGACCCTGGTCGTTTCCCTCGTCGCGTCTCCGGCAGAAGCAGGCTTGCGCCGTCAACAGAAAGAAGCGCCAGCGCCGCACGAAGCAGGAGGCCAAGATGCTGATGGTAGAAAAGGCGATTCTCGAACAGGTTGCCGAGTCTCTCACTCTGGACGAACTCGACGCTGCGCCTGAATTCCGGGTAATTGCTCAGATTGGCAAAAAGTCGTATGTGATCGGCTCTCGCAAGAGACAGAGGAATGAGGAGGACCTGGGCAACGACGTGGCCTCGTGGTATGACATCGAGGAAGGTCTTGGCCTGGGACTCATCATCGACGCTCAGCGTAAGTTTCACCGGCAATTTGTGAAGGTGGCTCTATCTAACAAGCATGTAGGCGAGGTTCGCAATCAGCTGTTCCACCTCCCGATGGGCCCAACCGTTGGTGAGATTCGCAAACAGTACCTCGCGGATATGAAGAGGCACGGCGAGCCTATGGTACCCGTTCGTTCGAAGCGCAGCTACAAGGGGACGCCCAAGCGCGCGTACAGTAACGATCTACTCACGCATATGGTGATCCAGCAACTGCTCGAGTTCCCTCAGCCCGAGCTCTCCTACGAATTTGTCCTCGAGCATCTCATCGCCGAGTCAGACAAGGCCCAGGGCCGACGAACACGACGCGCACGAAACGTTCGGCAGCTTATTGCCGCCTACGGCGAACCCGAAGTCTCGATCATTGAGGAGGATGAGGAGCCTCAGAGCCCGACGCCCAAGCTGCCTCACTTCCCTTCGACGGCTACGCACCATTCCAACGCAAGTCGTAAGCTGAGGCTGCTTCAAGGCGCTGACAACCTGCGCGCGAGAATCGAAAGCCTTGCCTCCATTCCCGAGCCTCCGTCGCCCTCTCCCGCTCCTGCAGAGCCGCTTTCTTCGCCCATTGGCCCCGGTTTCACTTTCCAATGCCCCTCATTCATGTCTTCCCCTAGCGCTTCTAAGACCAGCGAGAAGGACGAGGCCGAATTTGTCGAGGAGGTCGAGGAAGAACAGCAGCCGGAGCAGGCAGCCGAGCCCGAAGTTGCCGCAAGCCCTGCCGTCGCTAGCCCCGTCGTCGTGTTTAAGGACCGTACGCCCGCTAAGACGGCCTTCAAGAACAAGCGCCGCTCTCTTCCAGCCTTCGCTGTCGCTTCCCTCTCCTTCTCCTCGCCCGCCCGCCGCGCATCTCTCCAATTCGTCGCCGGTTCCGACCAGCGCTCGTCGGTGCAGGATCTTCCCCAAGATCCAGCATCCGAGTCGCAGGTGGTTGCTCCCACTTCGGTGGTTGAGCTCAGCGAGTCACAGGTGCAGAATCCCATTACGGTCGATTCAGCATCTTCTCGCTCGGAACCTGAGGCTTCGCCCGTGCCCGTTATTGAGGAGTCGCCCAAGGCCGGAAGCTCGTCCCCTGCTTCCGTTGTGGTTGATGTGAGAGAGAACATGGACATCTTTGGATCGTCGCAGGAAAGAGTTGGTTCGCCCATTCACGCGTTGGCTTCCCTTACCCGTGTATTCGAGGAGAAGAAGGAAGCGAAGGATGCCAAGGTTTTCGTTGAGAGGCTGGATGGACGTTTGATTGTTCGGTTTAAGGTGCCGGATGAGCATGCTGCGCTGTTCACGGAGGAGGTTGCCGCTGTCGCTGCTGCCTCGTCTTCTCCCGTCGCCGCCGAGTCGCCCATCGACGCGAACGAGTCTGCCGCACCAACCTCCCCCAACGTCCTGCCGGCTTCACCCTCGCCAGTACCCATCATTTCTGTCCAGCAGAATACCCCCGATAAGGACGGTGAAGAGAAGGACCTTGACGAAGAGGTGGAAGAGCAAGAGGATGACGATGTTTTGCAAGTACCCACCGAGGCCGAGGAGACTCTTGTTGCAGAGACCGCTGAGGCAGAGGTGGAGGACGATTCCGAGTTGGCGTTACTTAGGAGCTTCGTCTCTCGGCACGCTGCCTCTCGCGCTGCCCGTGCCGCCGAAGCCACCGCCCCAGCTGCCACTGCTCCCGTCGTTGTGTCGCCCATGCCGAGCGCCCCGATTCTGCTGTCCGCCACCCCCGAGCGCCGTCCCCAGGGTATTTGGGCCGATACCCCATCATTCTCCGTCGAACGCCCGCGCACCCTCGCCTCGCCCGCCCCCTCCTCGACCCGTCAGCCTCTTGGCGTGCTCGACGCTAACAGCCCGAGCCCCAAGAAGGTCAAGCGAAAGGCTGACGACGTCGCGGAGCGGGAGCCCTCGCCTGAGAAACCCGCTTCCAAGAAGCCGCGTAAGGCCAAGGCCGACAAGAATACCCCCGGCAAGCCCGAGAAGGACGACCGCGAGGACGAAAAGGGGATAGTGAACGTTACACCTGTCCTGGAAGCAGACCCTGACGGTGCCCCTCCCGCTAACGGCTCTGTGCCTGGCGTCCGCACGCGCGCCCAGCGCGCTGCCGCCCGCGGTGAGACGCCCGTGGCGACCAGAATACCCATGCGCCACCAGGTCGCCAAGGTCAGGAACGGCGAGAAGGACCTCGCGACCCTCACGCGCCAGAATACGAAGAATAATAAGGGAGGCGCGATCCCCGCGGACGAGATGCTCGAGAAGCTTAAGAACGCTGCTCCGACTGTGGAGACCCGTGCCGCCGCCGCCGCCGCCGCCAAGAAGGACGGGAAGAACGTCTCGTGGGCTGAGCAGCTGGCTAGGAGCCAGAGTGAGGAGCCGCCGCTGCTCTCCCCGTCGCCGGAGCTCAGCCATGAGGAGGAGAAGGAGGTGGGGAAGGCCACGAGGGTGAAGAGGGCGGCTACGCCAAAGAAGCCAGCGAAGACTACGACAACGGCAACCATGAAGGCTGCCCCTGCCGCCCCTGCTACTCCCGCTGCCACGGCTAAGAAGCCCACAGCGACTACGAAGCCTGCCGCGACTACGAAGATCGCCAAGGCGGCCGCGCCATCAAAGCTCCGTCAACCTGGCACCCCGGCTGCTGCCGCGGGCCCCAAGACGGAGGGTGCCAAGGTCACCAAACCGAAGAAAGTGACTGCGGCGGCCAAGAAAGAGGTTGTTGGGGCTGTGAACGGAACCCCCGCGAAGAGAAGCAGAAGAATCGCGGAGAAGAAGTAAGGACGAGGACGGACGACAGAGGATGAGGACAAGGATGGAAGTGGAGGACACCGCATCAAGCGTTCGCTTCAAAAAGACGTGCATGCATAGCTGTGGGAGTTTTGGGTCTGGTTTTGTTTTTGCTTGTTTGAAATTTTCCGTTGGCTTCCTTGCCCGCCGCCACTCGGCGTGGCCGTCTAGTTTTTATACTTTTCGTATACCCAAATCAATGACTGACGACGAGTGCACAACTACACACCTGACTGCTTCTGCCTCTGTGATGTAATGTTTATGAAAATGATCGTTGTGATGGCCTGTTTTAGTTGGATGGGTACGACGCCAGGCAGGGATATCCTGTTACACAACAGCGATCACTGCCTACGATTGTTCTTGCTTGGTTTCTTGGCTATGCTTTTTGTGAGTGTTTTATAGCAGACTTTTCACCTTGGTGGTGTGGTTGTGGTCCTTTCCCAAAGCCCCGATGCTTAAGGTTATAAAAGGAGGGATGTCATTGAACTTGGTCTTTTCCCCAGCAATTCGATTGCTCTTGGGTCCATTATTGTGGAAAGGGTTGGTCAAGTGGCAAAATATGATGACTCCTGCGGGCTCTGTAAGTATCGGCCATCCTCGCCTTCTGAGAGTATGCTGGCCGTCTGTCTGCGTACTTTTGGGGTTGTATATACATGCCTCATCGGTTACGGAATACTTGACGGGAATTGGCGGTGACGATGGATGATAGATAGGTAAGATAAACGAGTGGACAACCACATACTTTGTTACTATTGATTTTGGCGACATGAGGTTTGAGAAGTGATTGCCTGGTGTAAATGCAATGAGTCGCTTGTATTAGATGGAATGTATAACAAACTGAAGTGTACTTGTCTTGTTTGGTTCCATTCGCTGCAAACATGCTCGGCTCTTCATATAGACGCGCTTTTCTCCCTGGTGGTGTGATTGTAATTCAATCTGAATGATCCAATGTTTACAATTATAAAAGGAGGAATGTCACTGAACTTGGTCTTTTCTCCCAGCAATCGCAACACCCCATAGTACCCCGCGCAATGGCAATTGGGACTTCCTGGCACCTAAATGTAATTACTGCCGCGGCCCTCAAGTTATTGGCGGTCTCCCAAAAATAAACGAGTCTCGTGGCGTACTTTCATGGTCAGGCCTCGCCGACTGCGGAATACTAATAGGGTGGCCGGCGGTAGGGATGATGGACGACAGGTAGACGAGATCGATCATCGACGAGAGTATGATAGTCTCGGACCTAGCGGCTTTGGAAGCATGTGAACATGACCAGGACCAACATCTTGTGTCAAGATCATTCTTGCTTAAATTACCCTCGGATTTGGCTTTGTCAGGGTCGAATCGGCAGAATGAGCGTTTTATATACAATCATAGTTACCACGACTTAATTGCCGTTTACAGAAGGTGCGTTGAGAAATGCCACCTCTCAAGGAAGAGCGTCGTAAGCGTTTGTTAACTTTGGTTCATTACATTACTATCTTCTCTGCCAACTCTCATCCCCTCTCAGAGCTTCCAAACCTGCAGGTTGCGGTACCGAGCCACCAGGGGCTGCATCTGCCTGAACCCGATCCTGCCATCCCGAATCACCGGCCCAGTCGACTTATCATCATTGAACTCAAAGATGGGAAGATCATTAATCCTGAACTTGACCTCCCTCTTATCCTTGACAACCTCGATCTTGTAAAACGCCCCCGCGGCATCAGGTACAGGAGGCAACGGATCAGCCCCCTGCGCAACCAAATGAAAACCAGGCGACTTCCTCAGATTCGCGAGGTGGAACGCCCGCTCCTCAGGCCACCGCCTCCGAAAGTACGACGCATGCAGCGTCCGGATGTCGCTGGAGTGGTACTGCGGGTAGCTCCCGTTGCGGGGCTTGAGGCTGGGGTCGAAGATGCTGAGCTTGCCGTCGTCGGCGGCGGAGGCGGCGCCGAAGAAGAACATGGCGAGCCCGGGCTCGGCGCGCGGGGAGAACTCCCAGGTGATGCGGATGCCGTCGGGGAAGACCTCGGGCACCCAGTAGACGAAGTAGTCGTCCGGGCCGCCGCCGCCGGCGAGCTCGATGGTGCCGTTGACGGCGGTCACGTTGAGGGGCCCCTCGGGGATCCAGGTGGCGACGTCGGCGGTGGATTTGAGCGGGTTGGAGTAGAGGAGCTGTTCGGCGGCCATGGCGGGCAGGGCGAGGGAGAGGAGAGGGGTGAGAGGGCGCATCTTGGGAGAGAGGAGGATGTTGGGGAGGGAGGTTATTTTGATGGAGGGGTGGAAGGGCCCGGTGGGGGTTCGGCACGGGTGCGGAGCGGGGTAGGGGGCGTGTAGTCGGATCGTCCCCGGTGCGCGGGTTGCCTTTGGAGTTTGAGGATGAAGACGATGGAGAAGGGTTACATTCTCAGACCGGGTGGGTGACGGTGCCTTTTGAATGTTTCTCTGCTCAGTGAATGTTTCCTCATTTTAAGCTCCCCCTCTTCTCTCATCTTGGCGCGCGGTCGAAATAAGCGCATCGGAAAACTTTCGTCTTGCGCCAACGGTGTGATGCTGCACCGAGATGGACCGAGTCCGGGGTCCCCCGGCGGTGGAGACGGGGGAGGTTGACGGATGCATGAGCTAAACTCAGAGGGGCAGCTACTGCAACGTCTGCGATGTTGTGATTGTGATTGCGAAAGGTGTGATTAATCAAAGAAAATGTGATTATTTCTCAATAACACTGAGTGCTGCTGGGGTTTCTTTTCAACATTGCGTATCTTGATTGCTCGTCCGTCAAGCACGCGATTCGAAGCGTCCGATGAGGTATGAGCGATGAGTTCGTCGGATTCCTGCGCATAATGACCCCCGGCCGCAGTCAATCGAGATCCGGATGGCTGGTTCATGTTCCACCAATTGAAGGGTGGAGATCGGCGTTGCATCCGGCAATGAGCCTAAATCTGACTTGGAGATGAATGGTGGTCTGTTGTGACCCTGTAAAGCTTGCCAAGATGTGAGCATCCTTGGATATGTCCTCATCAATGGGACGAACGCGACGCCGAAGCATCCGGTATACTTCAGCTCTTAAAGAGAGCGGGGCTGTCCGTTCGGTCGGAACAATGATTCCACTTTCATCCCGCCGGAACGGAGGTAGCACGGAGCAACGATCCTCGTCGATTAATTGAGAAACGAGATTCCATGAGAAGCGGTATTTGTATTTGACGAAGCGGTGGTCAATATTGCGATCCAATCCGCCACGTTGCTGTGATGCATAACATATACAAGAAACATTACCTATTAATCCCACATCACCACGTGTTATACGAGTCGATGATGTTATCAACATCACTCTCGTCGTCGTCCTTATTCACCGTGACCCCGACTCGGGAACCAGAGAACCTCTCAGCTGGCCACCCCTGCATTGTCCACTTCGTCTCGACCACATCCCCTCCCATGATGAGAGTATGCTCCAAAAGACAGCTATCGTTTTTCATCATGGCACCGCTCAACAACCTGCTCCCCGTCCGCAACACACACCTGTCCCCGATCTCGAGGCGGTTCAAGTCAAACTTGCCGCGGGTATTGATATGCGCCACAACACTCGCATCATCCACCACAACCCTGTCTCCGAGCGTAATCAAATCCGGCTCGGTGAACATCAGGCTCGGCTCCCCGTTGGCGAATAGCGCGCAGTCCTTGCCGATCTTGGCGCCCAACGCGCGGAAGTACAGCACCATCCAGTGCGTGCCCGTCAGCATGCCCAGCACCCCGTGCCCGCGGTAGCAGTGCCGTCGCAGCCGCTCGATCGCGAGGAAGAGCTGCCACCGCTGGCAGTACGACGACTTGTCCCAGTCGTAATTGCCCGGCTGCCGGCGCCCGAGGAGCAGCCACTTGGCGCCGACGACGAGCGCGAGCGCGACGACGGCGTGGAGGGTCATGAGAACAGAGATACCCGCGAAGGAGAGCGCGTAGAGCAGGATGACGGCGTACCAGTCGTTCTTGCTCTCGGCGTGGAAGATGTCGTAGATGCTATTGATAAGTTGGATTGAGGAGATGGTGGGCACGTTCCAGTAGAAGGCGGTGAAGACGGTGATGAAGGTGGAGTAGAGGAAGATGGTGCTGGGCCCGAGGACGCGGTAGGATGCCTGGTTGAGGTAGAAGGCCCTTCCGAACGGGGACGCGTCGTTTGCGTCTGGCTGGGCTGCGCGTGCTGTTGGTTTCGGCGCGGGAGTTGGGAGGGGTTTGCGCGGCACGATGAACCTGTCGGCGGCCATGGCCTTCTCGTTGGGGAAGTACCGGCTCGCCCGCTTCTCCTGCTTGAAGCTCTCGCGGCCGGTGGTCAGGCAGACGGCGTCTCCGCCCTTGGAGCCGACGAAGGTGCCGCCTTTGGCGTACAGCTTGTTCCGTCTCGTCAACGCGCCGGAGCCCATGGTCGTCCGCTCGCCGACTTCCACTCCCGGCAGGAGACAGACGCGGTCGGCGATCATGGCGCGGTCCTGGATGATGATCTTCTCTGAGCCGATGCTGTCTGAGGTGATTAAGTGAGAACGCGATCCGAAGACCACGTCGTTGCCGATGTCGAGGAGGTGGTAGTCGGTGATTACGGGGCCGGTGCCGGGCCAGTATACCCGTTTGCCGATTTTTCCACCCATCATGCGGACGGCGACTGAGGTGGCCTCGTAGTGCGAGCCAAAGAGCCCGGTGACGTCGTGGAGACGGGCACCTGGGAGAAGCTTCCGGATGAGATCCGTCCGCCAGGTTTCGATATTGCCTCGGGTTTTGTTGAGGCCGCCCCTGAGCGGGCCGAACATGGCGTCCAAGAGGATTTTCACCAGGACGGCGAAGCCAAATACGAAGAAGGGCGTAAAGATGGATCGCAGGATCAAAGCGAGGTAGTGGTATCCCACACGGTGGCTGTGGGTAAACCACTCTAGGATATCCCTCATCGGCGAGTGACTGCTGAGAGGCTGGTTGAGGACCATGCCGACGAGGCCGCTGAGCCACGGGGTCAGCGACAGGAGCCAGCCGATGGCTAACAAAGGCATGGTCCCGAGAAGTGTGAGCAGCCAGTGCGGCTTCGGAGCCTTTGTTGGGAGCGTGTCCCTGTTCGATTCATCCGCATCATCCAGCTCCCAGCTGGACGAGTTGGGCCCTATGCAGCTGTTGGGCGGGATGACGGCCCCCGGCGCAACGATTGAAGAGAAGCCCACGGAGGCCTTCTCACCGATGATGATGCGTCCGAGGTACATTGACGTGTTGGCCTCCGCCGCGAACGGGCGGCAGATACACTTGGCGAGGACGACGCCGTCGCGGATGTCCAGGAGGTCCCATTCCCCAAACGAGACGCCGGAAAGCTTGACGTCTTTCCCAATCTTTGCTCCGAGCATGCGCAGGTATAAGCACATCGTGTAGTCGGAGAATCCAAAGATGCCCTCGCCGCAGAGGCTGACGATCTTCTGTACCATCCACCAGCGAGTGTGATAGAGGCCCCACATGGGATAGACGCCTTCGCGGTACCGTCCGATGATTGCCCATTTGGCGATTATGCCCGCGAACGGCATGGTGATTCTCATGATGATCTGCGCGAAGACGATGGAGGCCGTGAGGTTGAAGAGGCGGCCCGGGACGGATTCGTTGGTGGGCCAGAACTGGGTTTGCGCGAGGGCGACGAGGAAGACGGTCCACTGGAGAGCTCTGCGCATGGGGTAGAAGACGACGAGTGGAAAGAGCTGGACGGCCATCAGCCATGGACGTGTCGAGCTTTTCGGCTCGGTCGTGACGAGGTGGTCGTCGTTCGCTTTGGCGTCTTCGTCGTGGAAGGTCGAGGCGGAGATCTTGTCGATGTGCGCTGAGATCTCGGTGACCGTTCCGTTGTTGAAGATGAGACTTATTGGAATGCTGGTGTTTAGCTCTGACCGGAGTGCGGACATGAGCTTTCCGGCGCTGAGGGAGTCTCCTCCCAAGCTGAAGAAGTCGGTATCCGTCGGGATGTCGGAGGGGCTGCATGAGAGCACCTCTGCGAAGATCTTGGTCACCTTGCCCTCGGTCGTGCTCGATAGGCCCTGAAGCTGGTCGGCGAGAAGCTGGTTCAGGTCTTCTTGGAGTCTCGTCTCGTCGATGATACCCTTCTCAGACTGAGGAAGCGGCAGCCTCATGGCATGGAACTTGCTGGGAATCATGTAGTTATGGACTTGAGTCGCCATCTCCTGCCGGACGTGATCCAAGAATTCAACACTCAGGGGCTCTAACCCGGGAGTTTTGGGTGCAAGGAAGGCTTCGGCCATGCCGAGTCTCGAGTCGAAGCGGAGATAGCCCTCAAAGCTCGCTGGAGTGATGGAGCACAGGCAAGTGGCTAGCTCGTCGGGATCTATGATGCACAGGCGAGAGGATATTGGCACGTCAAGAGAGGTATCTGGCGGAGGGCAGTCGGCTTTCCAGTGTCTCTCGATGTAAGGCGTTGCGTCTGTCAGCTCTGGCAGTTTCAGCCTTTCAGCCAACTTGATTCGCAAGATCTTGTTGTTCTTCTTCGGAAGATCTTCCATGTACACAATGCAAACAGGCCACTTCGCCTGCTGCAGTGATTGCTTGAGTGCGTTCTGGATTGTCCTCAAGTCGACTCGGGGCCTATCCACGGCGGGTACGATGGCGACTCCCACAACCTCCTGGAGAACATCGTGAGTTGCAGAGAACGCGAGCACCTGTGAGATGCGTCCTGAAATCGGCGTTCCGAAAGCCATCGATGCGGCCATGATCGCATTCTCAACCTCAAAAGGCGAGATTAGCTCCCCGCCGCGGTTGATGACCTCCTTGCTCCTGCCCGTGATGTACAGATACCCGTCATTATCCACGTATCCCAGGTCGCCAGTGTCGAACCAACCATCTTCATTGAAGGGCGAATTGTCGAAAGATCCGTCCGGTTTGAGGTATCCCGAAAACACCGGCTCTCCTCGGACGCAAATCCTTCCCACTTCGCCGGGTGCTACACGTTCGTCGGAGTAGTCGAGGATGGTCAGGTCCGGCCCCGTGCTGATTCCTGATGTTCCTGGGCGATCTAACTTGTAGTCTAGCGGAGGCGTCGAGATCGGCATGCACCTAGTGTTGCGTCAGTTGCGATAGCTTGGCGCGGAAAGGAGCTAGACTTACTCAGTCATGCCGTAGCTCGGCAGCACGACGCAGTTGAACGTGTCCCTCAGCTGGCAGGCGAGCGATGGGAGCAAACCACCCGCCGCGTTGCATGCAAGTCGGATCTTGCTATTCAGCAAGGCCGTAGGTCGTGACTCTGCCCCCGCCAGAATGACCGAGTGCATGGACGGCGATGCGTAGTACCACGTCGGCTGGATCTCCTCGTTCATATCCCAGAAAAGACTTGGATCAAAGGCGGGACAGCATATCGTTGAGCCTCCGGAGAAAATGGGCGCAAAGATGTTTCTAACCAAGCCACCGCTGTACACCATTAGCTGGGGCCAAAAGCCTGTGGTTGTTTTGCGGGTTCACTTACACGTGGAACAGCGGCATCATGTTGAGGCAGATGTCCGCGGACGTCAGACCCCACGAGTCGACTACGAAAGAAATGCCTGCAATCATGGAGTGTGTGGTCAAAGGGACGACCTTCTTCGTCCCCGATGTCCCGCTGGTGAAGAGTATCAATGCGACCTCGTCGGCCTTGTTGGGTCTGGGGGTATCTGAGATCGGCAGAGGGGAGCCCGTCATTGTCTGGAGAGTGATGTCGTCGCCCTGGTTCCACTCGGCAAAGACGACCTGGACACCGGACTCGGAGACCCAAGAACTGTTCAAATCCAGCTTCTTGTAGTCCTCTGGCGTGGTGATGATGCACCGCGCGCCGGCCTGGAGAATATCGGCCTGGAACTGCTCCGGGCCCACCGCGGGGTTGATGGGCGCAGCGGTGTAGTACGTCGCAACGGCCATGGCCGCCGCAGCCAAGAGCGGCCCGTTCGGAAGCGCGATGGCGACAATCGGGTTCCGTGTCCCATGTTCGAGGGGCAATCGGAAGCATTCGACAAAGTTCCTGAGACCGCGGTGGGTGATGTAGTTGGCGGGGCTTGTCGACCGCAGCGCTGGTCTGTCGTCCCGTCCAATGAACTGCCCGAAGGAGTGGTACGACTCCTTCACCAACCTCCTTGTCCTTTCAATGAGCCATCTCGAGTTCTCGTCAGGGGTTGTTTTGGTTCCTTCGGGAAGGCATCTGGTGAGTCTGGTGTGGCAATCGATGAGAGGCAGTGGGGGCCAGGAGCCTGGTATCTCGGTCAAGAGTGTGTATAAGAGGTAGAGGGGCCTCAGCGAGGGCTTTTTGGGTTCGTAGAGGGATCGAAGGATTTCCTCGCGATCAAAATTCGAAGACTGTAGGGAAAGAAATTCCTCATTGGTCTTGATAAGGTCGGGGGTCAACTGGTAAAGAGCGTCGACTAGACCCCTCAGTTCGTCGTGGTTCGTGGGGGTCATCATGAAAGATCGTCGAGTTGAAACCAGCTATTTTGGGAAAGAGCCCTCTACAGTTGGGAGAAGACGGTTGACGAAAACGAGTGGAAGCCTCGAAGAACTTAATCTGAGGCGGCTTGGTGAAAGCTGGTGGTCTCGATAGAACCACTTCACTGCAAGCAAATGCGATGCGCAAGAAACGAATGTGGACACACACAACAACCTGGTAAGGACCGTGGTGATGTGCTCGAAGAGCGCACCGTTGAAGAAAAGCCCCCGAGACGAATGTGCAAGAGGAAGAAGGACAGAAATCATCAAATTTGACGAGACAGAATACGGACTCGTTACAAGAATTACACCAAAGACAAACCGCATGGGCCCATGCATCTGCCGTCCAGACGCCGAGCCTGGAACAGCCCATAGTGCAGCCATTGGGGCCCGATAGAGGCAAGGAGGAAAGGTCTAGCGAGTATCTCTTCTTCCCTAATCGCGAAATCTCTCCCGGAGCTTGCAGCTTCGAAAAGCAAGCTTAACATGAATAAAGCCGCGCCATGTTTGCTGCCGTTCCTGACCCTTGGGATAAACTATCGTCGACGGGAGGAAGCTTGGCTGCATCGGGTGGCTCTAGCGTCCAGGTCTTGCGTGTTAAGGGATGGGGCTGCAGACGGGAGATGAGTGGTCTTGCTGTTGGTTGCCATGTGGCTTGGTAGCTGAAATCGTCTGCAAAGACGAATCAGAGCGTTAGATCGGTACTATCCGACGTGCTAAGAGACAAGATGGTGAGTTGCGTTGCCAAGGTAGCTTGGTTCTGGTCTCCCTGCCCCTTATCTCCCCACGCCAAGGGTTTGGCATTTCTTCTCGAACGTGTGTGTATGCCATGCAATGAGGGCAAGGGATGGCATATCGAAACCAACAGAGCCGATCAATCAGTTGCGTACAACTTTTCCTTAGGCTCTGGTCATGATGCATCGTTCGAATACGACATGCACTTCGGACTTAATCTTGCCCTTCGACCGTCAGCGGAAAGCCGTTCCCGAGAAAAGCAAGTATTCGGGCCCACCATGGCATGATCTGTATCGATTGCGGGTGTTCGTCAACGATCCCTTACGTCTGGTGTTTAATTTCACGATCATGTCTGATTGCGATGTTCTATGCTCAGCGTATCGATGATAATTGACCAACAACATGTCGACTTCATGAAGATTTATAGATATGGCAGGCGGCTGTAGCAACAACAACCTCTGTTAGATGCAAGTTCGTTCCCACTGGTCCGGCTCTCTCGGATAGTTTGGCATGCCGAAATCCATCTTCAGGGTTCGTTCCGTACAATCATCCTTTTGACCACATCCTCATCCTGCGATACCCATAGACGTGGTCCCGGGAATGTGGAATGTGGTATCCCACCGGCAGCGCTACCGCGTCGTTATATGTAACTGAAGACGTCCCCTGTAAAGCTCTGTTCAACAACAGACGAACAGGCCTTCTACGCCCCTGACATGAATCGTGTGCTGCGAGCCTACAGAGGAATCCGCTCCGGGACTGTAGCTAAACTCTATTCCAGTCTCAGACAAATTAGAAACCCATCCCACCGGTCACCGACGGACTCGAACTGAGGGAGAATATGGGACTGTGCCCCCAAATGATTGGACAGTACACATTTGAACGGCCAGTTTGCGATACCGAACGGGCCGCTGCGATACCCTTTCAATACCGTCCATCATCTCGAATGAATCGTGATAGCAGCATCCCGGAAGCTTCGTCGCAAACTGTCAGCAGGGTGCAGATGGCCCGAACGAATGAGAAACCAGGAGCGATAAATCTACAATTTAAACTAAGCCGATGGGATATCGCGTCGATGCCTTTATAAAACCAAGAATGATCTGCAAGTTGTTGGTTCGGACGATTCTTGGTCCCTCGTGAACAATTGCCTAGCAGGTCTCTTCCGTCTTCATTCGTTCAGATCGTCCGATATATTCGCTCTTTTCCCATTCAATTCGGTGTAACATATCAGAAAGACTATTCTCAAAATGTCGCCCTCTTTCGTTTCCACCTTGTCCCTCCTTCTATCTGCGGCTGGTGCCGCTAACGCTGCCAAGCAGTGTCCCATCCAATTCGAGGGCCGAGTGCCGACCAACTTCACTCCTACCGACTTCGATACGTCAGCCAGTCCCTTCAACAACGGCTTTGTCTTCGGCAAGGGCCTCAAGGCCAGCGATGTCGTGACCATCCCGACTGGCCTCAACTCTCTCGTGGGTCGCTGCTTAAGCTTGACGATAGACGACCCCCGTTGCTAATGCCCTGTACAGTTCGATGCGAACTTCAGCAAGCCCTTCGAAGTCAACATCGATGACCGCTCCATCTTTGCTCCGACCGAGACCAACGTGCAAACAGGCTTCCGCCGTGCGGAGATGCTGCCCATGAGCAACAACGGCACGGACCCGTCCACCGCCGGAATCAAGACAGTTCATTGGAGTATGATGAAGGACCCGAAGAAGCCCCTCAACCTCACGCACGAGTACCAAATGGTCTTCCTTGAAAGCTCCATCTTCAGCTCGAACCAGTACGCGCTCAAGTACGGAGACCTCATCGGCATCCACCCCGCGGACCCTGATGTCTTGGTTCTCTTCGGCAACTCGAACACCAAGCCCTTCCAGCCCGAGCTCTTCAGGACCAAGTTCACGGACGGGGTCTTCCACAACTTTGCGCTGACACTGGACTTCACCAAGAAGTAAGCAGAGAGAATCTCACTCTAATAGCCACTGCTAACAATGTCTCGAAGCATGACCCAGATCTACTACTCTCAGGGCAGCGCCCCCCTTGTTGCTCAGGGCAAGCCGGTTGAGAACGACATTTCTGGCCAGGGACAGTTCCACTTTGGCGTCCTGAAGAAGTCGATCAACGGCACTGGCGACACTACCAAGACTGGTTTCCACGAGTCTGGCATCAACGAGGGTATCATCTTCGGAGGCATCTTCGAGGAGGACAGCGCTGACGGCTGCGTGTCTCTTTCTCCTTAATTTGACGACGCGTTGCAGCAATGTTTTTAAGGACCTAGACTTTTCTTCAGCCGGACTTTGAGAGATATAGACCCCCATAGAACAAAGCATGGCAGAAACCACCCCCGGAAATAGAATATCGACGGTCAATAATTAAGGTATCTAAATGTGATGTACGCTGATATAGGAAAGTATGACTAGTTCGACATGACTCCTGTGTCCCTTTCCTCCACATAACAAGTCTCAAATCTTCCACTTCAACTCTTCCAGCACCTCCTTCGCAGCTCTCTGCCCCGCGAAAACCGCTCCCTCCATGTAGCCATAGTGCTTTGTCGATGTCTCCGTGCCGGCCCAGTGAATAGCACCAACAGGTTTCCGAACCCATTCGCCTAGCAATGTCCACATTCCCGGGGCAGGAGTCGCCATCGGACATCCTGTAGCCCACTCATCCTCCATCATTGTGTGAAAAAAGAAATCCTCAGGATCTAAGGCCTCCTGTCCAAACGCAGAAGCAAACCCCGCCAGGGCCACTTGTCGTCTTTGCTCTTTGCTGAAGCTGATAAACTCCCTCGCCTTGCTGCCGACGATGAATCCGGTGAGCTTGGGAGGGTATCCTGACTCCGGCGTCGCATCGTATGTAACACTCAGAAACCCTGTCGGATTCGTGCTCTCTCCTGTCAACCCCTTGTCTCTCCAGAAGGCCGTTTTGTAAGTCGCAAAGACCTTCATGTAGGCCCCCATTGGCGTATGCTGAAGCAATGTAACCTTTTCGACCGGCAGTCTCGGTTCAAAGTCAATCTTCAGGATATGTGGGGGCGGAATCGCCGAGATGATCCTCCTGGTCTGATACTCCCCTTTCGATGTCCGCACTGTCGCACCGCTCTCCGTGTAAGAAACGGACCGAACCGGCTCCTGCAGTCGGACCAGATCATCACCAAGATACCCCCTTAGCTTCTCCGCAATCAGCTGACCACCGCCCTTAACGAAATGCTCCTGTGCTCCCCCTTCTACACCACACGCCGAGGTAAAGTTTACAAGCCCCTTGAAGAAGAACATGGCATGAAGCATGGAGATGCAGGATGTGTTTGCCGCAATGGTTGATTCGAACGCCATGTTGCCCATGTCAATCGTCGCCTGCGTCCAGGCCTTCTTCTTCATCCACTCATGCACAGTCATCCGGTCCAGAGCCTCCGCGTTCGGCGTCTTCCACGGCTCCTCCATGTTGACGGTGTCGCAGAGCTTTTCAAATTTCCGGACAAACATTCCAATATCGAGAACCTCCCATGGCCGCATGGGAGGAATCAAGCCGCTGTAGCTGCGTGCCTTCCCCCGGTACGCCAGCACGATCTTGCCCTCGGTCGGGTGTTTGAAAACGGGCACGTCGAATTCCTTGGCAAGCTCGTACATCAAGTCCTGCTTGTGCCCGAGAAACGTCGCCCCGACGTCCCAGTAGTCGCCATTCTCGAGGTGCACCGTCTTTGCGCGTCCGCCGACGCGGTCGCGCGCTTCGAGGACAAGGACCTTCTTCCCCGAGTCCTTCAGGAGCCGTGCGGCTGCGAGGCCAGAGTATCCCGCACCAATGACAATGCAGTCATGCGTCGTGGCACCGTCCGTCGATGGGCCGTCCATGATGTTGAGGTCGCGGTCTTATGTCTGGTCTTGTAAGGTAGTAGGGCGGAGTGCAGACGACGGGAAATGTCTGATAGAGTTCAGGTCGGGCGTTCCCGTGTTGAATAAAAGGAGTTCGCGGGATGCCCTTTTGCTTGGACCTGTCAACGGGAACGAGTCTAGTGCTGACGGGAAATTTGGAGGGAAGCGAGCCACGTCTCGGTCGGGGCCAATCACCAACGCCTCGCAATCTTAGATGGGCCAAAGCGACAGTGTCTGGCTCGCGTTGAGACTAGCGTGTTGCTATCGGCTTGGGCGGTCCGTGGTCTCAGTGACTGCGAGACGCCAAGGTGCGATGAGAAATAATCGTCTGGCTACGTGCGTCAAGCGGGTGTTGGATGTCATTGTGCTCTTGTACGTGTGCAGTGCGATTGAAAAGGAGAACGGATGCTACAATAGCTTCCTGGTACACTGGACGTAAACTTCGATTATGTGGGAGGAAATGTATTAATATTCATACATATAGGATCTATCGGATATCAGGGACGGTCGCACAAAAAAAAGAATTACTGCCTGTACGATCTATTCCCTCGGGAGATTGATTGAAACGACACAAACCTAATGGCAGCCCGCAACTATACAGCTGTCACCGCCATGGGCAACGTAACTGCGGCGAACCGGAGCTGTGTCCGTCCACAGCCTCCACTCCCGGCCCAAGATCGGCCGCAGGTGGGTCTCCGTATGTGGCCTGGGTCTCCGAAAGAAGGCTTGTTGGCTGCCCGGGGAAGTATACCGTTCATGCTTACCGTTCGTCAGGTCAGATCGGTTGCCAGTACTTTGATCGTCAGCAAGTGGCATCAGCCTTGTTGGCACCGAATACACCCTTAAGCAGTAAAGCAACGGCGAGAGAGGCACATCAGGCTCGGAAAAGCTGGCGGAATGTCTTATCGCACGGTCTGTCCTTCGTTGCCCGACGAAACTATGCAGCATTCGTGGGGACACATTGCAAGTAGTCGTGAGAGCTTTGCTTAGTTAAAACAGAAGCATCTAAGCCCTTTCTTAACGAGCTGAGCTCAGTCACGAACGAAGCCTGTCGGCTTAAATCGTTCAGCGCTAGAGTAAACAGAGAACGATACGAGATATTGTTAGGACTGGTTACATCTGAGATATCATGGAGGCTTTATAAAGAACCAGGCCGGACACAAATATCACTTCCGAGTCAGAATTGCAGTGTTTTTTTTTTGTTTTTTTTTGGCTCGGCGAAGTTTGCTTTCTTTTGGGTAATCGTTTTCCGAGAACGGGCAGCTTGTTGACTCCGAAATCCCCTAATCCTTGTCATCACCCCATAGCGACACGCAACACGTCTCCCACTCTATGAACCGAACTCGTATTTAACGGCCATGGCATGGAAATCACCGAAATGAGCAAATCAGGGTGAAGCTGGCTTGGCAGTTTTGAGAAGTTTTGTGTGATTCAGGCGAAGCCCATGTAAAATACCCCCATGGGTTTGCAAATCCGATTGCTGAGCTGCGTGAATTTCCTAAGAGCGTTGTTCTCCCCAACATCGAAGAGATCACTACCACCCTGGTCAAGGATTCGAAGAATAATTCAAGCCAGCTTTTCTGCGTCGATGGTTCCAAGGCCTTTTTTGCTAACCTCCTCTGCGTCTTGTCTAGACTAGGCCAGGTTTCGCATAAGCCTGGAAAGTTGACTTTGCAACCCAATTAGAGCTTTAAAATGCCAGCGAGTCTGCAGGCAGAACCTGTCAACTTAACGCACTTGTTAATATCGCCGGTCCGGTGACTTTTGCGAGAAGAGTTCGGCAAATGGGTCTCTGGATGCCACATTGCGGAATGATCATTGCGAAGTCTCATGCCAGTCCTGTTTTTCCACAACACATAAAAGCCACCCCAAATCCAACTCGAAGCAATCTTTTTCCCTCCACTGGCGCATCTCCGGACTCTGACAAGGTAAACTATCTCAAATCTCGCTATCTTAGTATCATCAGCACAATGAGGCTCTCTATCATTGCCGTATCCTTTTCTGTATTTCTTGGAAATGCTTTTGCGCTACACGTAAGTCGAGTCAACCCACTTTGAACTTTGCACGTCCCGTCACGCCTTTTTTGCGGCTTGCTGTCGTTCAGTCAAAAAACATACCAGGAAAGAATCGGCATTCACTCTTTTCCTTTCTTTTCTATGACGCTTTTCTAACGAAACCTTGTTACAGAGGTGTACTTGCACATTTCAAGGATCATCGTGCCTCGGCTTCTCGCAAGTTGAAGACAATCAAAGCTGCAGCGACTTTTGCAAATCAAACTTTAAAGACGGCAAGACGTGTTGAGTGGGCCTCAGAAGCTTGATCCTACACACCACCGTAGTTCCAGTGTTCGTCTTTCGTCCTGTATAGAACGGCCCTGGGATGCGGTACAGAAGCACATCAACTTAAGAGGCTTCGAGGTTACTATGCAAGATTCCAGACGAGGGACTCCAGACGGGGATGGAATGTTTGTTCAAAGCAAACCGCTGTCGATGATTCATGACGAGTTCTCACTTGGAATTGTGGAAGCTTGTGGAAGCATTTCATTGATGGCATTGCGTATGTAGGCTTCTTGAGCTATATCTGACTACAAAATGATCTGAGAATTGATAACGCTAGACCAGGTACCATGGTATGCCATGTATCCGGCTGCTTGCGGAGATCTATCTAGTGTTGACTGTTTCACGAGACAGACAACGTCAAAGCTTCTACAAACTCAATCAAAGTGATTGTGATTTGAATCAACGTACATATACTCTTACCACCCTTTTATTTTTGGCAAAATAATATATGTCGAATTCATCAATCATTTGAGTGCTAGGTATATGGACTCGATCTCCTACTATATGGTCAAGTATTTGCCAGACGAGCATCGGTAAATAGCCATCTGAGTCTTCCCGGTGGTGTCGTGGCCTGATGATACAGAACTCCTGGGTGTCTGATACCATCATACAATCTTTTCAAGAAAGACTCCGAGACCTGATAGTTCTCATCGGTCAGAATTGCACTTTAATGGCTTTCAGTCTTACGATTATAGTTGTCACTGTAGATTCAGTGTCCACAAAAAATATTGTTGGCAAATAAACTCTTGTTCACAGGCTTGATGGAAGTTTACTTTGCTTAGGATGGCAGCAGTCAGCAAAATTAAATCCCCGCCATGCATCAATTTGATCCCGCGAGCTGCTATATTTCACATGGCGTTAATCTTCAACTAGGTACGTCATCACGAAACCAAACTATGATTTTGGCTAAGCTTTGGTGATTAATGCTATGAAACTGGAGGTATTTCGGAGCCCGTTGGCAGAATCTCCAAAATGATACTTGTTTGAGTCAAGACCTCGTGTTCAGTATAGATCTTCATAAGTATAACACAACAACTCCTCGCGAACATCCATGAGTTGCTTGACTGTGCGTGTGGTTATGTTGGAAGTGCCGACATAGACCGTATCGTCCAACGTGACGTTGCGGTCCACCTCATTTGTCCAGTCATTAGCGACAACAGGACCAGAGATATCGCTCAGTCGTGTGGATAGATCCCTTGTCTGCCATGACCACCAAAGTCGGTCCAGGTTGGTATGATGAAGATAGAACAGAGGATCCCCGGCTTGATTGCTCGTCAGCAGCGCTTCGCACATTGATCAGCAACAAGATGTTAGACTTACGACTGGAGTAGGTGTCAGTCAATGTTCCGTACAAACCACCGACGCCCGGATGTCCTGCACCATGGACGCTGAGCTCGGCTTGACGGGTCAGCTGTCCGAAGTCAGGTAAGAGCATCAGCCGCGAAATCACGGTCGAATGCGCCGATTCATTGAAGAACTGCGGCATGAAGTCCCGCCTGACACACCACTCGTAGTACGTCGTGCTGGCTCCCGGGCCCATGTGAATCGTCATGTTGGCGAAAGGCCCGTTTGGGATGCAGCCACCGCCTGTTCGGCCATCAAACGAAACAGGCACACCTTCTGCAGTGACGGGAATCCCTTCTTCGGGGTCTTCGAAGGTACCTGGAACCCACTCGCCATTTCCTCCAAAACCGGACTCTGGATCGAATACTTCCGAGGCCCCAAGATCTTCGGCGTCGAGAGACCAGTCCCAGTATGGCTGGGCGCCTTCGAAACCACATTCTCGTATGGCTTGTTCGTACTCAGACAGAAACAGTCGATGCCAAGCAAGAAATGTGCCCTGAATTTGGTTAGCGCTCGCCATTACATGCCTCGGGTACTTACGGTGAAGTGCTGCTTCACAGTTTGAAGTATGTGGTCTCCCACAAAGTCCTCAAATCGGTTGGTTGCGCCCGGGAGGGTGTCTCTGGACGAAGTCGGTTCCTTGGCTTGCAAACACTTTACGGCTGAGATGTAGTTTGAACGTTCCTCAATCGATAATGAACGCCTATTGGTAGAGATCGTCAGTAAAGAAGCACTCATACCTAGGTTCTGGCCGATTTACCATTCTTTGCGCACGAGTGGTTCTGCACATCGGAGCGATTGGACCAAAGCACCGAAGAGTGCGTACGGCCAAAGACATGCCAGGAATCTCATAGTGTATGGTGTTTGTTGCGGATTGAATTGACGAGCTGCCTGTTGCAATGTTAAGAGATTCCCATTGAGCAGTGCGCAACTGGAGTCTCTTATATTCTACGATCTGAACGAGAGGAATTCAGCTAGGCTGAGATGAGGCAGCGCTTGAGTCCCCGATAGTCCCGCGAATCTTCCCATTGAACTCGGCCAAGTCGCTTGTTGATTGTCAAGGGGATCTTTTCTGCTCGACGGGGGGAAAACGCCGGCGTGCCTCATTCTGCCGGGCTGTCTGTAGTCTCCGGTGGCCGACGTGATGTCGCGCCAATGTTCAGCCCGGACAGAGGGTGTGATGTGCCACATGCAGTCGAATCCTCGGACGTCTGAGTCAAATAGGGCTAGACTTTGCGGATGACATTGAAATAAGGCTTAAGCAATCGCGATGTGTGGCTAACATCCCCAATTTTGCAATATGCAGCTACTTGGCGCTCAGGTGAGCCGCCCTCGTGGTGTGGGCCAATGAACCCTAGCTTCAGTAAGCGAATTGCCATGTGGTGATGATGGCTTTCAGCGATTTTGCTGCACTGTCGGACTGACTCAAGATGGTTTTCAAGGGAGGGCAGCACGAGGGCGCGCACTCATCGGCAGCGGAAAGAAGTAGTTGCACGACAGACACTTGGAACATCCTAATGAGACTCCGGAGATGGCTATCGATTTGAAGGCCTCCAGCGCTGGAGAGGAGTTAGGAGAAATCAGACCGCCTAAGCCAACATATTATGAATCGTGATGGTTGCTGAGCACTTAGTCCCGGAACTGACTTCTTGTTCAAGTTTCATCAAGACTGTCTACATATTACACTATTTGGGTTGTATAGAAATTTCAAGGTATTCATATCGCTAATGGTAGGCACAGTAAGTATTTAAGGTCCTTCAATCCCAAGCTGTCAACGGACACAAGACTCTTTCTAGCAGACTTCCGGGTGGCAGCAGATGTTCTGCTCGTATTTGCGCCACTTATCAGAACCCCAGATAATTTTGAGAGACAGGGAGCAGCACGTCTACTCAACTCGCCCGGCTGGGGGAGGTCTTAGCATAACTGAACGTCCTTGGGGAATACCAAGTAGAGCAATTCTATTTGGCCACATTTTTGTTAGTCATGGGGAAACTCCATCAACGGCCGTCCGGACTCCGAATGCCTCCCCTACAAGCCGAAAAGACCCTGGTCTCGGGCCGGTTATTCAGATGACGCCGAGTGTAACAGACAACAACCTGACCCATTATCAATAGATGATGAATACTGCTTTGTATGTTTTCTACACGACCGAAAATGACACTGACAAGGTCCCATCACGTCCGACAGTACCTTGAAGACATGCTAAGAGCCAGTAATGACATACTCTACCGAGTCTCGGATATTGCGCGATGAAAAATCGGTGTCCTGGGAGTCGCAGATGGCTCTATGGAACGAGATTTGGCATCCCCACCCCCACCACTTCCCCGAGAAAAAGAAAACGGGGCAGAAGGGGAGGGAGAGCGCAACACTCATCTCTCACCGCCCTGAGATAGACGCTTACATGGCCATAGAGGGTGCTCATGCTGATTAATTTCTCACAGAGTGCTGTCGTCATGAGTAGACCAAGAGTAGCCAGAGCATCGAGTTCTTCACACAAATGGCGGCGGCAGCAATGGCGGGAACCGTTCATAACGGAAGTGCGTCTTAGATGCGTAATGTTGCTCCGTGAGCAACGTCTGTATTCATCCCGGGCTACGCCGATGCGCCTTTCTCTCTACATGCCAGGTTGCAGAGACGTCGGTGTCCGTCACTGTTCGACGGCGTGATATCGTACACTTCGCAAATCTCGCGGCAGTCTACCGCAACCAAATCCATCGCAAGCACCAAGCCACTTACTCCTCGCCCTCACCATCATCCATCTCCTCATCGTCGTCATCGCCCTCATCATCATCGTCGTCGTCGTCATCGTCACTATCGGACCCAGACCCTTCGCTCTCCCCCTCGCTGCCAGGGTCGTAATCCTCTTCATCCTCGTCCTCGTCATCTTGAAGATTCTGTTCTGCCTCCAGGTGCGCCTTCGCCAGCTCGGACAGGCCCGTCCCAGCCTCCCCATTCGCCTCTGCCTCCTCGCCCTTCTTCGCCTTCAGATTCTCCGTGAGCTCCATCTTGGCTTTCCTCTGCTCCGCCATACTGCGATCCTGCAGCCCGTGACGCTTCACGTAGGACTCGTCGATGCCCGCGTAGTCCTCCTGGTCCAGCATCCCAAACTCAATCTCCTCCGTCGTGTCGCCTTCGCCGAACACCTCAACGACCATGTTGAACGTCCGCTGCAGCACGTTGGTGTAGCTCACCGCAACGATGCGGTCCGTGGGCAAGAAGACCAGCGGCTTCTTGAACCCGTACAAGATGCCGTTGGGCAGGAAGAAGAGGTATCCGTCCTTGGACCCGCGGAAGGCCTTGACGTGCACGGCCTTCTCATTGGGGCGGTGCGGCTGGCGGACGAGGCTGTGGAACTTCGACGGGTCCGCGGCGACGATCTCGGCTTTGTTGCCTGCGGAGCTGAGATGTGTGGTCAGGGCCCAGTCGAAGAGGGTGCGGTAGGTGTCCGAGACGGCGGCGGCGGCGTTGGCTTTAGGTCCTGCGATGGTGCCTTGCTTCGGGGGCGTCGAGGGGACGGTGAAGACGAGGGCCTCCTTCTCGGGAGCTGTTTTCGTTGGCAGGCAGGTCCCCCTCGGGAAGAGGACGTAGTTGTGTTGTACCTGGGTCTTTTCGGGGACGGGGAGGTAGAAGGCGTACTCTGTCCAGTTTGTTAGCTTTGGCTTGTGGTGCCTATCTCTACAGGTAGAAGAGGGACGTACCGATGTCCTCCCAGGCGTAGATGATGCCCTCCACGGGCGCAGTGGTGCCTGGAGCGCGCGCGTAGAGGTAATTTGCGGTGAAGCAGAGCCCGTATTTCTTGCGCTGGGGTACTGAGACGGAGATCTCCTTGATCTCGAGGAGAACATCTTCGTCTGCGGCGTTCCCTGGACTGGAAGCAGCCTTGGGCGCGCTTGCTGCGGCTTTTCCGTTCGCATTTGTGGACTTGAAGCCATTTGCCGGGCCCTCGTCTACCCGCCTGCGCTTCGAGGCAGGCTCTGGTCCGTGAATTTGCTCGTGTACGAAGCTGGCGATGTTGTTGAAGAGGGCTACGCGGTCGGGGGTATCTGGTAGTAGCGACGATCAGTTTGAGTGCCTCGAAAACCAGAATATGGGCAATTGGAACTGTCAAACGTACCAGCTGCCTTTGCAATCCCTTTCAGAATATCTGGCCGGGAGTGGAAGACGGCTCCCAGCCGTTGGCTGTCAAGGCCGGACATGTTATGGAAATTTCGAGATCGAGATTTTTGCCGTCCAAGGTGCGTGTCGGAAATTGATCTGACGATTTGGATGGAATTTCGGGTGCGTGGACGATAGTAGGAAAATCGGTGATGTTTTTGCCCGGCGAATTTGATGGTGTTTTTTTTGACGCGACGTCGATCTGAATTTTTGGGTTGTGACGTGTTGGAGCTGCTGCATGGGCGGCGCACCACCTTACACTGAGCTGTGCTGCAAACTGCCTGCCGCTGGCGGATTTAACTCGGTTAAAGTGCCTCTCCAGCTTGGCTCAGCTGGCGCCCCCTTTTTTCTCTCCAAGCCGCTGGCTCATTTGGTACTGAATCGTTTCGTCAAACATCCAATGGGACAATAGGCATTGTTCATCGACACTGGGGAAATATTTTGGAACTTCTTCTATCGACACACGTACATCCTTCCCAACTTTTCATCCCAGGTTTAATAAAGTTAGTTCTTGATTCCCGTTTCTCTTTGTCGTAGCCAATTCCCACTCGTTCAACCCAGGACCTAACCTAGTACTCGCTGCCATTGAACCTAGGACGCCCTAAATCATTTTCGATGGTGAAAAACAAACTGCTTTTCTGATGCAGAGAGGCACGCAGGACAGCAATCTGCTCGAGGACACTGGGCCTGCTGGCTCCGCCCTTGGACGCCATCATCTCGACGCTCTGCTCGTAGTTGAAGGTCTCTGCAGTGTCCTCCTTGACACGGGCGTCGAAGCTCTTGATCTGCTCGTAGAAGAGCTCGTTCATCGGGATGCCCGTCTTCTCCGACAGGGCGACGCAGCGGCCGGAAATGTGGTGGGTCTCGCGGAAGGGACGCCCTTACGGACAAGGTGGTCGCCCAGATCAGTGGCGAGCATGAAGGGGTCGAGGGCCGCCTTCATCTTCTCCGGCTGGGTGACGAGGGTGGCGAGGACGCCCTCGGCGATCAGGGAGCTGTCGCTGACGGTCTTGATGTGACCGAGCATGGGCTCTCAGGACTCCTGGAGGTCCTTGTTGTAGGTGCTGAGAAGACCCTTCTGGGTCATCATGAGGCCGGCCATCAGGCCAAAGACACAGCCACTCTTGCCGCGTTCTAAACTGTCCGGGTTCTTCTGGAGCATGAGGGAATTCCCGGTTGAATAGGCGTCGGTGAGGTGAACGAAGCCAAACTCGCCAGAGGAGTAAATAATGAGGCAACACCGGCCATGGAGTTCCACAGCAGGCGCTCAAAGCCGAATTCCGTGGAGATAGCCTCACGGTCGATGTTGAAGGGGATGCCAGCCAGTGCACCGCAACCAATGGATTCCTCCTCACACGCTTCACGATCTCGCGGAGGCGCTCGAGGTCGTCGGCAAAAGGCACAGTGTAGGAAAGCATCCAGTGGCTCTAGCGGACAGGCTAGGGGCGCTGCAGGTGGGTGTAACCGGGCATGATGGAATCAATCCCCTTCTCTGCTCGGTGGGCGGTGACCCTCAAGAAGCTGATGAGGTGCCCCTCGCGCTTGCGGAGCTCGTCGCGGAGCCACAGGCGCAGACGACCTGCTCGTCACGGCTTCGGCCGGTGCGAGCTTTCCGGCAATGTCCTTGTCAAGCCTGCGCTCGTTGGCAGTGTGAATGTCTTTCCGGCATCAGTATCTTGATTGACTTTCTTGTAGTAGCGGCAGCATGCATACCCTCATCACCCTGGGCGATCTTGAAGTTGCCAGCCTCCCATTCCTTCTCAACTTCCAGCAGGCCCCTCTCGTTCTCCTCGAATTCGTGTTGAGTAAGAATGCCGTTGTTGAAATTTGCGCGGGCGAAGGCCATGCTGCCGTAGATCCCCTGCTGTGAAAGTGCTTGTCGAAGTGAATACTTTCGTTATACTGCTCCATGAAGGGGTCCGAGGCCGCCTGAGTGTCGTCAGTTTCATGTCGATATCGAGTTGTCAATACGATGAGGTGTGAATGCCCTCGCTCGCAGCCAGTGGAGGAGCAACAGCGATAACGAAGCAGTAAAGCGACCTCCCCACAGCTTGTTCTCGGCCGGTTTTGAGACTGAAGCCATCGTGACGGTTGTGTGGAGGCTATTCGGTCGTGGGGGTCCAACTGGTATTCGAGTTGAGAGAATGAACTTCAAAGTCAGTGACTCAATTGACTTTTAGATCAAATGCAGCCTTTCAATTGTCCACAGAGGGGGAGGGGGAGAGCGTAGCAAGGTTCTTGAGTCATCTGTACCCGCAAATTCTTAAATATCGGAGCTGTTGTCGGAGACGCAGAAGCTCAGCCTTGTCTTATCTTTGACTTTATCGCGAGCTAAGGGGAGCTTTGACCACCCGAAGGGTTCAGTTTTCCCCTGAAAGCCCGACGTCACAGTGGAGGATGCGCCAGCCGAGGCCCCAACAGCTGGTGGTGATTTGACAGCAGCAGCCACCCCGCGGTTACCTTTTCCATTTCCAGCGCCAACACCGCCGGCTCCTTCCTTGCCCCCACCAGCACAAGAACCTCACCTCCTGCCATCGTCACCTCCGACATCACGCCTCCACCTTCACCTCTACCTTCTCGACGCGACCATTGCGCGTCAGCCATTCTTCGGTTGACCACACTCAGGCGCCTGCCTGGACACAGTGCGATATCTCTCGCCGCTCATCCACGCCTCCCACGACCGATTACCCAGCCGCACTCGCAGCGCCCGAAGCTGTTTGCCGTCATCATGTCGTTCGCTAACATCTACACCCACCGAAAGGTAGCTGAGAATGCCGCCAAGGGATGTGACGTATGCTATCGAGCTACGAGTAGCGTTCTTGTTGCCGACGAGAAGAAGGTAGACGATACGCTTACTGTGATGCCCAACGTTGACGACGTCTGACTATGTCTCAGGACTTCTTCTACGTCTGCCCGAGCCATTTGAAGGACAAGAATTTCTGCTCCCCGATCATTGACAAAGAGGCGGTCGAAGCAAAGAAGAAGAAGGAGATTGAAGACGAAATTGAGCGGGTCAAGAAGGAATACGAAGAGAAGCAGAAGAAGAAGGAGAAGGACGAGAAGGACAAGAACACGGACAAGGAGAAAGACAAGGAGAAGGAGAAAGAGAAAGACAAGGACGAAAAGAAGGCTGACGATGAGAAGAAGGATGACGACAGCAAGGCTGCCGAAAAGGTAAAAGTCCCAGCCTTGCCATGGATATCGGACTAGACTCCGGGGCATCGTACATGTTTCCCCGAGCTTCGGCTAACATTTGTCCAGGACGGTGCCGGCACGGAAACTCCATCCACGGAAGAAGAGCCCCGAGTATTCGCGCTCCACAAGTAGATGATCTCTTGGTCTTGCATATGCTGATGCAACGCTAACCATCTGCCGTCAGGAACTTCTATGGAATGAGGCTCGAAAAAAAGCGCCAGATGGAGATTGCCAAGAGGAACCGGGAGCGTCTCCAACAGCCCAACTTCTTTCCCTCGGTCCCCAAAGGCGCCCCAGGTAGCTAAGAGACCCCTTCACATTGCATCAAGGCTGGCGGCTTGTACGCTCCACAATAAGCGTCTCGCGATGTCACATCAATCAACGTCAGCCTGCCTGGTCATCGACTTCAACCGCCGCATCCCAGTTCCCAGCAAGTTGTCACGGCTGCTGTGATGCACCCCCCTCACATCATATGCTCTTGATATCTGGATCACACCTGCGCCAAGCCATGTACAGGGAATTTGCATCCTAATCAGGCCGGTTGCATCGTGTGCCTCCAATTTGAACCGCGCCGGCTATCATCCGTCTGCTCGAGCAACGCTTTGACCTCGGGTTCGACAGCCGTGGGATCCGCTGTCCGAAGGAGCCCTTTTGGTTGGCTCAGTTACGAGTGTCTACGGTGTGCTGGCTTTTTGCTGGTATTGCTTCCGTACAGCGTAAGACGACCTGCAGTAGCCCTAATGGGCTGTTGGAGCGGCGCGGGAGCACGAGCTGCCGTTCAAGGTGCAGTTCCGTTATCATCCCTGCGAAGATCACTGGGGGGTGTAGCTATGGCATCCGGGCAACTTGGAAGTCTCTAGCGGGAAATCCTTCGACAGACCCAGGACTCGATCTCATGCAGATAATTGTGACATTCACAGAATTCGAAGCAATACCCCGGATACCTGCCGTCAACAGCGGCACGCACTAATGAGGGGGTTTCCAACCTCCGTTGCAGAGCTTAGCTTGTCCCGTTGCCGCCTTGCATTCAGTCTTGGAAGCATCTTTCAATAAGTCTCCCTGCATTACCTCATTTCCTCTTCTCGGAGTGCTTCCCTGGCTTTTACGGACCGAACACGTCCAAGATCCAAGACTACACCACGGCCCGAGTTGCCTCTCAATATCAGCCTTCTGCTGTATGACTCCAACGGAGTGGCCTGTCCAGGCCTTGGTCTCGGTTATCGACGCCTCCTAGCCGTTCCGTACGCCCTTGTTCGACTCATCTATCAAGCACGACATTGGACCACAATTGATCCACAACTGTTAGATTTGCAGGGAATTGGAGAAACCTGTCCCTCCATCTGTGCCTCCCAACGATCTCCAGCCGTCATGCTTCATGTCACCCAAGTCCCGCGTCGGGCCTAGTGCTGACAATGCTTACGCTGCCGGGCAACATCTGCATGTGCCCCTGTCCCACAAATCAGAAACATTTCAACTCTCGGAGTGCACTACATTGAGAGATTGCCAAGAGCGAACCACGGAAGAACATCATCAAGCGGGGTGCTCGCACTCTGAAAGTCCCCCAGCAACTTACATGAGGCCGTCACGTTTTGCGTGAGGTATGCAGCGGATGCCACCCTGTCTCCTGCCACCTCACGCGGACATGACCTGAGCGGCATCGTCGGCTTTAAGATCACCTGAAAAGGTCCTATCACCGGCCCGCGCCAAGGTCCCTTGGAGCCAACCGGAAGGTTCACGTACGCAGCCAAGCTGAGTCGTTTTCAGCGAGACGATGATGTTGGCGCCACGCAGAGTGAACATTGCCAGGTCGGTCTCAAGTGGCCCCTGGGACTTCGGTAAACGCACTCACACCACAGGGTTGCGACAGGGCCAACATGCTGCGACCGTCACCCAGAGAAGCTTAGGGCTGACACCAGCTGCTGGATCCGCGTGTTACCTTGCGTTAATCGGATGGCGATCAATCGACACGCCTCAAGAATCACGGCACCGAAACAATCCATTATTAGCAGCTGGTCTGGAACCTGTGCCTTGTGGCCGTATCGGGTCCTTCAGTGCAGAGACTCAGGTATGGCAACAACATTGTTCCACAGTTGCTAGAGTATCACTTTTGAGGCACAAAGGAGCTCTTGGTAGTACAAGACCAGCTTCAACTTGCAGTTTGACGCAAATCATCAGCCTTCCTAGGCGTGATTGAAGATGAACACTACGCTAGAAAGTCCACTGGATCTGCACCCAGCTTGATTACCAGCCGCGCCACCTGTCCAACCGGTTAATTCAACAACGATAAGAAAGCGAATACGACTATCTCGTTGCATCTTCGACCCAGTCCCACGCCAGTAAGACTGGCAGGGCTCACTTGTCAGACAAGGTCTTTGGGCATCAGGTGACTCATGTTGGGGCAAGCCAAGGGTCTTTCTGACCCCACAGCAGATCGCATGCCGTTTTCGAGGAGAACTCCGTCAAGAGTTTGACCGTCGCAGAGCCTCCATCACGGCAAGTACCGCATCTTACAAACCACTCGAGAATCTCTTCTCGACCAGGCACTCCGTTCGGACGAAACCCCACTAGGAACGAGGTTGTGCCTTAATTCTGAGCCCGGTTACAGTGCCTCGGGCGGTTGCCGCAGAGCTGCGGCGCATGCTTACGCCCCAGCTAACCTTGTAATGGAGAAAAAGAAACTTCCGTCGGCAAAGAAGAGTGATTTTTGGGGTTCTGCCTATTTCTAGGCTCTAGCCGCTAGCCGAGTTACTGTCTCATTTCAGCAGCCCCTCCGAAACGGTGGCTGGCTGAGCCACGAGGCAACTAGGTGTGGTCAGGTTCAGCAGGCACTGCATATCAACGTCGTACCTGGAGGCATGGATTTGGACAGCGGACACTACGTCGATTAGCCTCACGCTAACCACCGTACTTTGGGCCTTTGGTATCACTACCATTATCACGTCAGAATTACGCGGTGCCACATTCGGCACGAGGCTCTCATCAGCGCGCCCGATCTACCTGACAACAGTGTGAGAGCAGCTGCCTGTCTTCGACGTCAGCAATACCGCACTTCCTTGAAAGCGTTGACGGCCGAGACATGTGTCCCCAAAGAGACGTGATCATAATGGAGAACGTTGACGTTCCGACATTCAAGGCCAATAAGACATTGACAGCCTTACCCTTTGATGGTGGTCCAGATATGGTTTCGATTCGAGGATGTTGTTTGCTGTGGCTTGTGTCACCATCTTGAGCGCCGGACTGTTGGATGGGTAAGCTTGGAAAGCTCAACAAGATGGCTTTCTCTACACTCCAATGGCATACTTGCTCTCGCATCCATCACCGCCAAGTTTCCAACAGGAGTCTGCCACGGCGAAGCGAAGAGGTGATCGGGGCGCCACACGCATACATCTCACCATATGGTCCCCCCTCCGGTCTCCACTCTCTGCCCCAGACGACGATCATCGATCAGAGAGCAGAACTCGATTCCGCTCCTAGGGTCTTATTCATGATGGGGGGAGAACCATGCCCGCCTACTCCACTCCCCGTACCCAGAAGACCACTTGGAAGGGGGGCCAAAATGCCAAAGTATCTTCGAAAAGAGGTACTTGTCCAGCTCCTGATGGAAGTACCCAAAGCAAACGGGGCTAAATGAGGGGGGTTGTCAGCATCTTAGCGGCATCTCTGCCTCACGCCACTGGGGTATTGTCAACTTTGGCGAGTTCGCGCCGTGGGCGTGAGGGTATCGTCATGGCGGCATGGCATGGGTGGAGGGGGCGTGGCATGCGCGTGGCTTGACGTAGCTCAATCTCACCGATCTTCTTGGACTGCCGCTGCATATTGAAAATTCTTCTTCTTATCCCGCCCTCCATCCTTGCCTGCCGGCCCACGTTCGCACATCCCCCATGAACTTGAAGATGACTAGGGCTTGTTAGACTTCCAAGGCACATACGCAGAATCGTGGGCAAATCGACGCGATGGAGCCCTTTCAACTACCGTGTCGAACAGGGGAACTCCTCGCTTGGGCCTCTCCACGGCGCTCTTTCATCCGAACTGCCCTCGACGTCACGGCCAGGGCTGAGTAGTTTCCTGATCTGCCCTGCTTATGAAGGCGTCCGTTGATGGCACGGCGCTCGGTGGCACGGACCCGTCTTAATGCTGAGAGCCTGAGAAGCGTGATGACAGCTCCTGCGGCTCTGTTGTTTTTTGTTTCTTTTTTTCTCCGAACAACGGACGATCTTGAGAAGAGACTTAGCTCAAAATCATGCAAACATGAAGATGAGAAGGTTCTTTCTCCTCGGCATGGAGCAGACGTCATTGCGTCGTCAATGCTTCATGATGCCGTGTATGAGTCAGGCTTTTTCTTCCCGGTTTTTTGTTTCCTTCATGTGAGGTGCTGACGGAGCGGAATGAAGTGCCGGGGGCGCACGCGCGCGGGGGTGGGAAGATGGAGATTGGATGCCTCGGACCTTGGCGGGGGTCTTTGGAAAGCCGGGACGCAAGGCGGGTCCCCGGCTTGGGGACTAGGGCTAGCTGGCTGAGGCGGACTCTTTTTATCAGATGCTTACTGAGCCGTCTGTGTTTGGTTCCGTCTGTGGGGTTGCTGAGGGCTGGTGAGAATGTCGGTGTAAGCTGACCGGCGGTGATCATGATTTTGGCAAAGGATGAAACAAGGCAGTTCTGGGAGCTACGCCCATGGGGACTAGGATTTCCTGTCAGATTTGATGAGTGTCAGCACCAATTAAGCATTTGAGGTTTGATGCTTGGGGGAAGATTGAGGCTTTGGCGGATGTGATTGTTTGGCGTCAGATATGAGTTCGTTCCTTGGGCTGTTTCAGTCCCTGAGGGGGGTTTACGCGGTCTGATGCTGGGCAGATCGAGTGTTTGCCATTTCTGAAACTATCAGGATCTTGGAAGGAGGGGCTGTCAACCATGCGTTTTGCAGCATGCGGACCAAGATTTGACGGGAGTTGAAGTAGTCTTACGTGAGAAGTTTGTTTTGGTGTTTTCCGGCGCGCGGGCTGGGCGGCGGCGGCGGAGCATGTGAGTTATTTGCGGACGGGGCGATTGGATCAGCAGGCTTTTTCTCACTTACTCGATTTGCACATTCTGGGACTTTACGTGCTGTGATTGTGATGAGGGATGGTGATGTGGCC